GCATGTCCTCAAACAGGGATGGAGGTTAGGATTAAGATTAGTGGGCTCCCCAAACTCAGATCTGCATGTCCTCAAACAGGGATGGAGGTTAGGATTAAGATTAGTGGGCTCCCCAAACTCAGATCTCTTGGTGACTCATTCTTGTGTTGGCTTTCCCTGCCTCCCTGTTTCACTCCTTTCCGTCACTCCTGTTCCCTGAAGTCATGCCCAAATAGCCTGTGCACAGGCTTTGGTGTCAGGTTCTGTTCTAGGGGGAATCCAGGCTAAGATATCATCATTAAAAAAAAAATCTAAAAGTCATGTGGAAGGATGCTAATTGCTAATTTACCCAAATCTCCCAGCCTAGCTGAATAGCAGGATATAGCAAGATTATTATTTCTTAAATAAATATTTTGGAACTCACAGACTTCTATGCGTCTGAGACCAATCCTCCTCCCCGATCTGTCTCTTTCTCTTCTAGTTCTTTCCATTTCTTTGTGCCCACGCATCTCTGTCCTGCTGACCATTCATCTCCCTTCCCTCTTTGCTTTCTCTTCCCTCTGGTCCTTCATCTCTCCCCGCTTCATCCTGTTTCTGTCTCCTTCACGCCTTTCCTCTTTGTTTTCCTCTCATGTCCTTCTGTGTCCTGCTGTGGTATGCAAAGTTGGGAGGCACCCTAGCTTGTGGGACACTTGAGACCTTACCCTTCTTACATTGTCTCTCAAACAGGGGAGAGGAGGGTAGGATTAGATTATGTGCTCCCCCAAACTCAGGATCTCAAGGCTTTGCTGAGTATTGGCGGGGTTGGCCCTTCATAGACATCTCACGAATGTGAAAGAATCAGTTAGCGGTGGGCATGCAGAAGGGATGACTTGGGATTTCGACTTCCCTTATAGCCACAAAATCCCAGAGCTGGCTCTGGGAACTTGTCCTGAGTGTGTGGCTCCTTCAGCTGGCTCATGGAAGTTCATTCATTCCCAGGAGTGGAAAATCGGAACATGGAGAGGAGCTGGGAGACTCCTGGGGAAGTCTCGGTGCTTGCTGCCCCTCCGCTCAGGGGGTGCAGAGCACGGCCAGCCATCCTTGGAGGTGACTGGTTTTGTCCGTCTGTAAAGCCACCCAAACACGTGCATTTGTTCACATTTCAATCCACTTTATTACCAAAATGAACAAAAGGAGAATGGCATTTAAATTAAATAAGTTACACAAACATCTCAAGAGATAAGGTTCCCGGTCCTCCCTGGGAATCGTATCATCTCAAGTCGGTAGCACTAAGCACATTCAAAAGTATTGAAATTCTGGATTATTTCACTAACTTGCCCCCTTCCCCTGCCTCAGTCCTGTCCAGAAGAGCAGTCGGTGTGAATTTGTGTTCTTTCCAAAATATTCCAACCGAGAAGTTTTCTTCCATGTCGTCCCTCTGCCCCACGTGTTTCCAGTGATACCCCCACGTGGGCTCTCTGAGTACTTAGTTGCAGATCCCTCCTTGAGCCCCAACTCCAGGCCACTGCGAGTCAGCAATCCCCTTCAGTTCCGGGGCTGGCCTGGGCACTAATGGTCACTTTGTCAAGTCCTCAGGGGATCTAGACCCTTGGTTCAAAAGGGTTTCTGACTTAGCCTGTCCTGAGGCTCTGTGACCTTCACTGCCTCCTGGGCCTGAGCTGGACTTTGGAGGAGGTGGAGTAGGGGAGGGTGAGTTGTCATTGGCTGAGGCTCTTGTCCTCTTGGAATTTGGCACTTTGGGTGCTGGGCACAGTGAATCCCAGATAACATTGTTTTCTGCCTTCCAAGTTTTGAGTTCCATTGGCAGCCCGATGGCATAATGAATTCACAAAAAAGCAATGCTCATGGGCCAAGAATGTGCTGGCTGGTCGCCGGCACTCCCTCCTTTAACTCTAAGCAGCCTCGCTAGCTGACCAGCTCACTCAACACGCAGACAGACGATGCAGGTCAGGCTGAAGTTAGACACTGGGACATTTTCCCAGGCCGGGCCAGCCCAGCCTTGTAGGGCAGGGTCATTACGTTGAAGAAGCTTGGAAGGAGAGGCCAGAAGATTTGCTGTGCACTTCTGTGGAACTTTTGCAAAACATGTGCACATGGAACCTATTTATTTTCAAGTCAATGGCAGGATTCCTCTAGATAACCCCTACATATATGGAGAACTTAACCCCGATTTTCATCTTTCTAAGAAGAAGATAGCCTCAGGTCCTAAGGTTGTTGGGGGGGGAGGTCCCTGTGGAAGAAGATCTAGTCTGGACCAGCCTTTGTGCACATCTGTACCCGGCTAGGGGCTGCGGCCGGCCCCTGGAGGACGTTTCCCTTGCCTGGCAGGAGGCCCCCATCATGGCTCTGGGCCACAAGCTGATAAGGGAGAGTTAAAATGATTGGCTCTTTGCCAAGTAAAGAAGGACAAGGCAGATGTCCCGAGGGGAGGTATTTCCCTGATGGGGCCCAGGTCCCACCAGTCCACCTTGGCTTGGCACTAGCACCTCCTCCCCTCCATGTCTCCAGTACAGACAGGGATTCCCAAAAGCATTTGTGCAGAATAATTGGTATCTATTGCTAGGTTGCCAGAGGATTCTGCCAGCTACCCACCCCCCCCTTTTGGGTTCCTACCCAGCCTCAAGTGAAAGGGAGCAGCCCCCCAGGGCAGGGGGCGTGCTGTTTCTGGAGGCAGAGGCAGTCTCTTGGTGGGCTGTCCCCGGGGGAGGTAGTTCCGCTGGACTTGAGGGTCCCGGTCACTGCGCAGGCTAGAGCCTGACGGACTGGACAGTAGTGGAGGCCTCGGCAGCCTTGGGATGAGGAGGAAGGGCAGTCGGTCACCAAGACAGGGACTCCTGGGTGTGGAGAGGCTGCCAGTGACGGAGGCGGGGCAGCCGGACCAGGCAAGCCAGAGAGTCCCAACCAAGTTCGTCCCTGTGTCCTGTGACAGCCTGACTCCATCTGACACCAAGCCATGCAGGCTCTAGGACACCTTTTGAAGCTTGCACACCAGGTCGGCACAGTTGTGTGTGCCCTTCTGTTCTTGACTCACTCTGTAAGTCAGGAAGCCCAGGTGTCCATCAGCTGCCACGGCAGAGCATGGGCGGGGGATGGGGTGTGGGGGGGAGACTGGAGGCTTGCTCCTTGCCGGCTGGGGCCTGAGGGTCAGAGGAAGGGTGAAGGGCAGGTTGTCAGACTCTCACTCCTGTAAGAAGAGTATGCTTTCCCTGCTGCTGAGAAGCTCTCTCTGGAGATGCAGGGAGGGAGAGAGGGGAAGGGGAGAGGAGGGAGCGTGGAGACAGGGGCTGGAGCCCTGGCGGACGCACTCTCCCGGCACTCCCTGCCATCCCGGGCTCATCCTTCATGGAAGTCCCAAGGGCCAGGCACTCTGGAGGCAGCACGAGCACCCACTGGCCTCACAGGGCGGTCAGCGTCTCTGCGTGAAACATGCTCCCGAACATCTCCTGCAGGGCCACAGGAAGGAAGGGGGAGGGGAAGGGAGAGCATTAGACATGTTGGGGTCAGAGTGGCTGCAACCAAGAGGTGACCCTACGGACCCCTGGGCAGGACTCTTAAAAAAGGGTCAAGACCAGACAAGGCCTGAAGTTCGTTTTCACTTTGCTGCGCTATTTTGGTTCTATCCCAGTTTTCTGGAATGTGGTGGAGATTCCAAGAGGGTAGCCTGCCCAATCTCTGTGGCTCCAGTTCTATTTTCTAATGTCCCCCACCTGCCATCGGCGCTCTGAGAGACACATTCAGAGGACCGTGGAATTCAAACCCAAAAAGAATGGGAAGAGACACAAAGAGAGGTGTTATTTCCAATACACCCCGGAGCCAGATTTCTCTAAAACTAGTCATCTAGCTTCTCTTCATTCCGGGCATCACAGTGGTGCTAATATTCACAGGCCCCGTGGGGATAGTAACCCCCTCGTATCTGCATAGTTTTTAGTTTGTAAGGCTTTTAGTTTGCGTGTCCACATGCAGTAATAATTCATCTGTCCCCTATAATGCATCTGATTCTATCCGAAAGTTTCCTAAGGGCAGGGGTCTTTGCTTGTTCGCCGCTATGTGCCCCTCCTGGACCTGTGTCGGGCAAGTAGCAGGCAAGCCACAAATACCTGTTGAATTAATGAAAGAACAAATGACTCCCCTGCTGATCTTGTGAGCTGGATGAGACAGGGGTTACCCATATTTCCCTTATTTTGCAGATGATAAAAGGTGGGGCCCAGGGTCGCTGTGTGGCTTGCCCAAGATCCCATGGTTCATGCACTGGGGAGTTAAGAATAGACATTCGTTCTCTGGGACTGGGTCCAGTGACCCTCCCTGCCCTGTGATGATGCCTCTCAGGGAATGAGAAGAATTAAGATCTGTTATTAAAGGAAAGATGAGGATGGAACTTTGTTGCCTTCAAGGCGACTGCTCTGGCCGGGAGGTGAGAGAGCCCAGTGCACACATTGCATTTGAGAGGATCTCCTTCCTTGCTCCCCCTCCCCCTCGCAGCCCCGCCCCTCCACTCACCTGCTCCAGGTCCCAGTAGCTGGGGCTGTCCTCCTCTGAATCGTACAAGGAGGGCTCAGGGTCCCCTGGAGCCTGGAAGGGGGGAAGGCGATGCAGAATGAGCTCCAGGGACAGAACAGCAAAGTCGGCGCACGGTGGCAGGAAGGACACGTGGCTGGCTCTGGGTCAGCACCATGTTTTTTAACACATAACTCATTCTCTCACCTCTCCTCTCACCTGCCTCACAAAGTATGGCCCCGCTGTGGTCTCCCCCTTACGCCAGACAGGTGTGCATCACAGTCTGCCTTCCTTGGAGGTGCTTTTAGAGGCAGGGAGGTTCACCTAGCCTGCAAAGACGAGGCTAGCCGCCGGGCCTACAGAGATTCCTTCACCCTCTCTGGGAGTCTGTTTCCTCATCTGTGAACGTAGGACAGTCAGACTCACTGTGCTGGCTTTGCCCCTCACCCTGCGGTTGATAAGGGTGTATGTGTGTGTAACTTTTCTATGTATGAAAATATTCTGCAGTATGTAATTATATAAAGTTTTTTTTTTTTTTTTTTTTTGAGACAGAGTCTCACTTTGTTGCCCAGGCTAGAGTGAGTGCCGTGGCATCAGCCTAGCTCACAGCAACCTCAAACTCCTGGGCTCAAGCAATCCTGCTGGCTCAGACTCCCGAGTAGCTGGGACTACAGGCATGTGACACCATGCCCGGCTAATTTATATACATATATATATATATATATATATTAGTTGGCCAATTTATTTCTTTCTATTTTTATAGTAGAGACGGGGTCTCGCTCAGGCTGGTTTTGAACTCCTGACCTTGAGCAATCCGCCTGCCTTGGCCTCCCAGAGAGCTAGGATTACAGGCGTGAGCCACTGCACCCGGCCTATATAAAGTTTTTCCATAATACAAATTATTTATAGACATGTAAATGACTTGCATAAGTAAATGTAATAACTGGACGTTATTAGTGCAACGACAAGGAGCACGCGTCCAGAATCTTCTCTGACTGCCCTGGGGACAAGGTTCGGGAAGCAGGAAGTCTGTCGTTGCCCGGAGTTTCCTTAGGTCTCAGCCGGGAGGGCAGGAGCCAAGGCCCCGTGTTTTCCTGGGCAGTCTTTCAGCACTTAGGACAGATGGCCTCACCTTTATCCGTCCCTTAAGGCAAAGAGCAAATCATTGCTCCAGGGCCAGAAAAGCCTTTCTTACGACTCACAGAGGGCAGGGGAGGTTTTTATTTATTTGTTTCACCAAGGGCTGTGGTACACATAGAGTCTTGGGAAGCCAAGAGCAGGGGCTGAGCTGGGAGGGGACCCTGGGACCATGGGGGGTGAGGGGTGGCTGGAGAGATCTGGGCCGGGACCCCAATGGGGTGGGCTTCTTCTGACTCCTCAGCTCTCTGGAGCCCTAGACAGTGTTCTTGGTATCTCATTTGCATACCACTTACTGAGCTAGTAAATGAAATGTCAAGAGGCTGAGACAAAACGCCACCCCAGCCTCTCCATCCATCACCGGCCTGAAATCTCCAGGCTTTTCTAAATTAAAACGGGCAAGCTTACTCCCCTCCCCGCCTTCCCCCAAAGCCCTTTCTAGGGAGAGAGGAGGAAGAGGCTGGGGAGTAAGGCCAGAATAGCGGGCATACCGTACTGTGCTTTGGTTTATGGAATCGGGAAATTAGAGTTAAGAAAGGAGTTTTACCGTACACAAGGTACTTTCAAATGACATAGAGAGATAATTATCATTTAATCCTAAAGCAAAAAAAAAAAAAGAAAAACGCTGTAAGGTAGGTAATGTTCATTGATGGTGCCCATTCTACAGATAAGGAAACTGAGATTCAGAAAAGTTAAATGGCAGAATCCGTGTTGGAACTGGAAGCTTCTCCTGTGTTCTTGCTAATGCCCCTTGGTCCTGCTGTTTCAGTGCCCCCGGGGCCTAGAATTCCCCGGGTGCAGGGACCTTACCCCTTGGAAGGTGCGTCCGGGGGCCACTTCTCCGGCATTTGCCTGGGCAAAGAGGACAGCGTCGTGGATGCTGGGAAAGACGTGGCCGCACTCTAGACTCCCGTCCTCGAAGACACCTCCGTGGCTGATGTCATTGTACACCTGGGCTGCAAGGAGGAAAGATCAACCTTCAGAGAGATCCAGAGACCGGAGCTGGGCGTGGGGGAGAAGGGTGAGAGCAGGGCAGTGGGGGAAGAAGAGAGAAGCCCAAAGCCCGAGCTGCCTCGGGGCGGGCGTTGGCATTGCAGTATCCGTTCGGGACGGCAGAGGGCAACTGGAGCTCGAGGATGCTGAACTTCAACCCAGGGCAGAAGGAAGCAGTTTGACAGGGCGTCAGTACTTGGTGGCGATTTGAGAGGGAAAGGCTAAACTGGCTGTAAGGCAGCTGCTGCCAGGTCTGTCCCCCGGGGGGCCATCCTCCCTCTTGTTTACCCAGATCTTTCCTGCAATTTCCAACGTGTGGCAGAGCCCTTACTCTTACCGAATCCTAAGGTGGCTTCCTGAGCGAGTGTCCCGTGAGGGTGGGAGGAATGCACACATTCTAACCCGGGAGCACGTCGCGGCAGGCCGACGCCAGGCAGATTCTCTCCCTGAGCGGGGTCTCCGCAGGGCTTGGGCCGTGCAGCCTTGCCGGAAGGGATCTGAGCCTCCTCGGGAGGCCGGCGTGTGTGCTGTGCCCCATGGCATTCTCTTGTGTGTCTGTGTGCATTGCTGCCTTTCCACGTCCTTGCAACTTTGCTTATGTGCTGATGAGGGGACTGTCCCTTGCTCTGTGGCCGTGACCTCGAGGCTACATGCACACCCCCTTCGGGGATTACATGCTTATAAAACTGCATATCTGTGTGTTCCCTGGGCGGTTAGGATATGTGTGTGTTCTGTGCCTCCTATAGAAGATTCACGTGCTATCTGAGTTGGAAAGGATCCCCAAATTCACCTCGTCAAGCCCCTCATTTTACATAGGGAGAAACGGGTCCCTAGACAGATAAAGTGACTTGCCAAGGATACACAGCAAATGAGAATCCTAGCTGTGCTTTCCCAACTCCACGACACCCCGCCCCCACTGTTATCAGGGCGACCCGGCCAGACTCCCTGGACTTGTGTCCGAAGCTCTCCCGAGCAGGCGGTACTTTGGGAGGGTGTTTGGGTCCTCCCACTTCCACCCCTTCACTATTCAGACCTTGCAGCAGCCTGTCCCCACTGCCCCCCCCCCACGTGCCAGGCTTTCGGTCCCCAAACGTCCTCTCTTACCGTGGATGTTCACCAAGAAGACCTTCACGCCGATCTTCCCGTAGGTGGAGCTCAGCTGGACGTGTTGGGTGGAGAGACAAAAGGGAAGGAATGTTCTGAGTGGGTCTTAAAAGTGATTCACAAAACGCACTTGAGAGGGGAAGCCAAACAAGTAAGCAGCATGAGAGCCCTGCGGCCAAAGACAAAAATAGCAGCAAAGCACACCACTTCTCTCTGGAGTGTGGCTGAGGGCGCCTCCAAAAAGCAGGGCGGAAATGGGGCTTTGCCAACGTGGTGGGCACTTAAAGTCACCGTGGCCCCTTCCTATGGCTTTGCGGCTTCAGACAGAAGCTGCAGGGAGGGACCGAGGCTCGGAGGGTCTAGAGCTTCGGCCAAGGCTGGTCTGGACTCCAGAGCCAGGCCAGGGAAGCAGGCTGAGGTTCAAGGTGGGGCACGGGGCCCTCTCTACACCCTGCTGGTGGTGATGTCAGCCCCTATGCTCTCTCTGCCCCTCTGTTTCCCTGCTTTGCCTCCATCCGAGCCAGTTCTGAGGTTTGCTGACTCCCTGCCATCAGAGGTGGCCGCTGACAAGTCATCAGATGGATACATTCATTCAGGGTGTCCGGTGGGCTGCCTGTTTGGCCTGGGGGTGTGGGCACTGAGGTTATTTCTTCTTCTCGCCTAGGTGGCCAGTGAGTACAATAAGGGGTAGCAGGCCAGGAACCAGGGGCCAAGCTGGACTCTGCTCTGAGGACCCTGGGTGGGATCCTGGTGGCCTGGGAGGGAACTTGGATGTCCTCTGCCGGAGGGGCATGGATCACTAGGGCCTGACGCTCCGGTAGCCTCTCCAGCAACTCACTGTCGTGGGCTGCCCGGGCCTGCTCTGCAGAGAGCGCCCTGTCCCCGTCGGGTCTGGGGAAAGGAGGGTCCTTTGGAGCCTTTGGCCTCCGTGTCGTGCTTCCTCCCTCAGCTTGCTGAAGTGGGGGCCCCGAGGACAGGGACCGTAAGAGAGAGGGGAGCGGAGAGGCTGGTGCAGAGCGCCTCACCTTGGCCAGGGCTTTGATGCCCATTAGGTCCACAAAGCTGACACCACTCATGTCCAGGATGAGGGTGTGGAAGGTGACGAAGGGCGGGACAGTGGCCAGCGTGTCACTGGGTTCACCGGGGGGCTCAGCAGAGGCCGGTGGCTCACATGGGGCAGCTGAGGAGGTGTCGGGGCTTAAGGAGATGTAGGACATGCTGGCACCGTTAGCGGGCGTCTGGTTGTTGTTGGGGTCGGTCGGGGAGGGGTTCTCAAAGTCCTGCTGGAGCTCCTGCAGGGAGACAGTCTGGAGGGGTGGGGCGGGAGGGGCAGAGTCAGGGACCCCCCGAACGGCGCAGGACTGCTAGGCTGAAGCAGGGGCAGGGAGCGAGCAGGTGGAGGTGAGGAATCAGCACGGTGGTGGTGAATGCAGGCTCCGAAACACCCCCTCTCCCAGAGCCCCTTCCTTGGCAGGGCCTGCAAACTTAGCCTCCTATGACCCAAAGTCAGACGACCCTTTTGAGAGGGGCGCTGAAGCCTCAGCCACTCTGCTCTGGGAGGCCCCTTGGGGGACAACTGAGCTCCTCTTGCATTTTTCTATGCCTGCCTGATCCCCCCTGAACTCCCACAGCCACCCCAGCCTTGCCAGCTCTAGATTGGCTGGGCACCCCAGAAAACCCTCTGCTGCTCCCCCTCTGGAGTTGTTCGTAAGCCCATGGGCCATGTCCTATCTTAGCCAGGAAATGGGAGGGGCCGGGGCAGTTCGGCGGTTGCCCTGGGAGCCAGTAGCCCCTCGCCCAGGAAGGAGAATGCCCAGTGGCCACCAGGCAGTGTGCACAGAGACCTTCTGTCTTTGCCTCTTGGGGTGAGAAGTGGGGTCCCAGGAGTGCCACAGGGGAACGGGGCAGGAGGGCTGTTCCTAGCCTCGGTTCACCTTGGTCTTCATGAATAGAGACTTCCTCTGTTGGGTGGGCATCGCTCTCCTCTTCTCCTGCTTCTTGAGGTATTTTTGCTTGGCCAGTAATACTTTCTGGGGGTCCGTGCCCGTCTGTAGGGAGAGAGCCAACAGCCGCCTCTGTAGGGGGCCTTCTCTTGGCCACTCTCTGTCCGGCCCCTCTGGTCACCAAGGACAGAGCCTTACCTTGGCAATGACCTTTTGCCTGAAGATCTCTGAGTTGGCGAAGTAGAGAGGGGAGCAGTAAGTGACAATCTTTATCCCTTGAATTTCCTGGACCTGTGACCGGGAGACTGAGCTCAGGTTGCAGAAATGTTTTCATTGGCTTTTTAAGAAAACCGCTTCTCTTTGAGACAGGGCAGGGCAAGAGAGGGATGTCATGGGCTTGGGTTACCCACCCTGTTGTAGGTCTTAGGATTCACATAAATGTCAGTGTCTGCGACCCGGGCCAGAGCGTAGCCGTTTCGACTGGATGGAGGAGGGAAAGGAAGACGTGAGAGAATGCTGACGGCACGAGGGCCTGGAAGGGCACTGGGGCTGGGGTGGGGGCTGGGGCAGAGCCAGGGTAGGATGGGGTCCTGTCCTCCTCCCAGGATCGCTGTATCTGTCTTTTTGCCCTGGGGGCTGGTGGCAAGCCTTTGACGCAGCTGCCAGACCGGGGACTCAGGGGATAGAAGCGGTGGGGGTATTGTCCTGGGGTGGGGCCCCCTGTGGTTTGGGGTTCTGGCAGTGCCTTTGGAAGGACATTGAGGCTCACCCTCCTGTTCTTCCCCTACTTTCTCTCTCCCCAGCCCTACTAGCCCATGCTCCTCTGTGGTTTTTAGGTTATGGAAGTCAAGCAGCCCAGCCCACAGTCCTGGCTAGGTCGGGCTCTCCTTGGGCCTGGCAACACCTCCCGTGCCTGGGAGGGAGGAGGCTGTTACTCACAACTGGGTCTGGAAGACCACAACCAGGACGGAGAAGGCGACACCCACTGCCACACCATACGGCAGGCTCAGGAAGAAGGAGGAGAGGAAGCTCACCACCCACACGCACTGTGGAAAGAGACAGGTCAAAAGCTGGCCTGGAGAGAAAACTGCCTCTTTCAGGAAGTCTTCCTGGATTAGCTAGGGCCATTCTCTGCTAGCACAACCTCAGACCCACCCTTCCCTTTTTAATTGCATTTTGGGTTCAAAGTTTCGTTCTTTAACCCTTTGCACTCGCTTGCTTTTTTCTCTTACTGCTTCCTATGCTAACCATGTCGAGTCACACTTGACACCAAGTGCGAAGTTAATAGCGATGGGAACCTTAGTTTCCTAATGCAAAATGGGAGAATAATAATACCTACTTTATGAAAGGATTAAAGAGTTAAGGAATGCAAAGGTCCTAGCCTCGTGATGGACACCCAGTGGGTGATCACTAACTGTTAGTTCCCTTTTTCTGTCTAACGCAAGCTCCATGTTCCTGTCCGGAGCCTGCAGCCTGGGGCTGGGGCCTGGCTGTGTGGGTGGAGGGCAGGACTGGGTGAAGTCTGGATAGGTCCCCCAGATTCTTCTAAAGGAAAGGAATCTGCCTGGATTCCTGCAGAGAATCGTCCCGAAAACCAAATGGAAGCAAAAAGCACTACACGAACATCAGGGACTGTGGGCAAAGCAGGGAGTTGTTGGGTGTGGTGGAAGCAGACCCTAGGGCTGGGGATTGTGACATAATCTTCCGCCCTCATCGCTCCCTCGCTGGGGGGACCCCAGGTGGGGCCCTCACCTCTCTGCTTTCGGGATTTCCTTCCCTGAGCCACGTGGATGAGCCGCCCTCGCCCGGCAGACAGCTCAGCCCGGGAGGTTTGCAGCCCAAGACTTGGAGCTGCACTTCCTACCTCTGTGGCCTTTGGCAGCTCGCCTACCCATTCTGGGCCTGGGTTTCACCATCTCTGAGGGAGGTTAGCAAATCTCTCTGAGGTCATGGTGGGGCCTAAGTGACGACACTGCAGTGTCGTCAGCCCACGGTCGCCGGTGTGGCTATCATGCAGCGGAAGCCGCCGTGCAGTGAGTGACTAATCGCGACCGCCAGTCACGTTTGCAGAATGTTTATGGCTGCGCGGTGCTTTCCCACCGTGATCTCGTCTAATCCTCAGAGCCCGTGCGTGACGCAGCGACGACTGCCACGCCTGCTCACACATGAGGAAATAGGATCCCACAAGAGTCCGGTAACACGATCCAGACCCCGGTCCCCTGGCATTGGTACGATTCAGACAACATGCGGCTTACTCATATTATGTTATTTCTTCTTCATAAAAGACACTGGGGGATAGGAAGTTTACAGCGCCCATTTTGCAGATTAGGAAGCTGAGGCTCAGAGCGGGTAAGGGACTAGCCATTGGCCACGGCGCCGGTGAATGGCTGAGTTAGGATTTGAACATAGGACATCTCACCCTGATGTCTGGGCTCTTAACGCTCAGGCCATGTAGGGAGCAGCAGACCAGAGGGTTCGCCGCTAGGACGGGGCTACCTGGCAGGGCTGTGGCGTCGGGGGGCGAGCTGGGGACCCAGAGGTGGCTGGATACTCACGCAGTCCAGCTTGCTCTTCCTCCACAGGTAGTAGGGGTCGGCGAGTTGCTTGAGGGAATTCTTGAGGTTGACAGCTATCAGGGCTCCCAGCACAGACTGGAGAAGCAGAACATGGCTCCGTGTCACCCGGGGTGTCCCCTTCTTTCTGCCCTCCTCCACATGCCTGACCCTGGAGCCCGGCAGGACAGAGCTGGAGTTCCAGGACGCTTCCCCTGGCGGAGCCCCCAAGTCTCTGCACTCAATCTTAGGTTTAGAAAGTGCTGGCGTTAGAGCCATGGGGTCCATCCTGGCCCCATCTCTGCCTTTCCTCTCTTCCCTCACCCCTAAGTGGCTCATGCCCAGAGCCCTGTTTGCTGGGCGGCAGGAACACCTGGCGCTCGCAGGTGCTTGGAAATGCTGCCTGGGGATCAGACTCTGAGGCCAGAAGGCCAGAGCTTGAGACCAGCCTCAGTTTTCCTCATCTGTGAAATGGGTAGAATAAACCTGCCTTGTCTGCCTCACGGGTTGTGATCGAGACTAAGTATGACAATGATGGCTTGTTACAATCTGCAAATTGCTACACAACTTTTAGGGACTGTCCTCACTGGAGTCTCCCGCCATCCTCTGCTCTCTGGCTGGGCTCTTACCTTGGGCAGAGGGTACAGATAGGTTCCCAGGACCAGCATGGTGATCATCACCACCAGAGACACGCACAGGCTTGCCACCTGTCCAAGAAAGAGGGTAGGTATGCCAGTTTTGCTCCTGATTTGTGTCCAGTAGATGCCTTTGGGGAATGGAGACTCAGAAGGAAAGAGGAGGGCCAGATAGCGCTGCTCTGGCCCGGGCCGCCTGGGCTTCTCTGGGGCAACTGTCCTGCGAGCGACCCCTTCTGCCTCACTCCCCTAGCTCAGGGCTCACCTGGGATTTCCCTCCAGCTCCATCCACAGCCAGAGTGACAGAGAGAGCACAGCAAATGACATGAATTTTAAAGAAGGAGCCAAAGAAGTTGCTGCAGCCCAGGGCGATCATCTCCTGTGGGGAGAGGGGCGGGATCAGAAGCCAGTGGTGGCCGGGCCGGACCGAGCACGGCCAGCCGTGCAAGGCCACACACTCCCAGTCGAGACGAGGCCAGCCTCTCAGGGTCAGAGACTCCCCACCCCCTGCTGGCAGGCAGCCCGCCGCGCCCCAGCCCAAAGAGCCCCAAGATATCTCGTAGCCGGGGCCGGCCCCAGGTGGCCCGTCCTACCCAGCCCTGCTGGCCATGGCCGGAGCTACCTGGTTGGAGTCCACGTCATAGCCGTGCTTGCTGGCCAGCGTCCGGCCCACAGCCAGGTTGATGACATAGCCCACGATGGCCAGAGAGAAGGCTGTGCCAACCATGTCCTTCCACTGTGAGACCACAGGCGACACCGGAGTGGGGAACCTGCCGAGGAGCCAGAAAGGAGGCAGGGCCCAAGGGTGTGAGCGGCGCGCGAGAGGGATGGGGTGGCTGGAGTGTGGGGGGGTGGCACTGCGTCCTTCACCAGCCTGCAGGGGCCAGCCAGGCCCCCACGCTGCATCTTTGTATAAGTTATCCTGCCCAGCCCAGATCCTCAGTATAACCCTGGAACGTGGGTGCCATCACTCCCACTTTACGAAAGGGGAAACCGAGGCTTAGAGAACTCAGCCTGTTCAAGGTCACAGAGCCAGTACGTCGTAGGGCCTGGTTTATTTACTCCCAGACTCTGGACTTTGTGCTCACAACCCCGAGACCCCCAGACCCCCAGTGCCGCAAGCCCTTCCTGCCCTCGCCTGCCCCTGTCCGCCCAGGGCCCGGTGTGGTGCCCGGCACACGGTGGCTGCTTAATGAATTGTGCTGCTCCGAATAGCTCCTTTTCCGCATGGACGAAGAGCCCAGGGCATTAGAGCAGGGCGGAGAGCCGGCAAGGGGCTGATCAGAGAGGCTTTGTTTAACGGCATTGATCGAATGAGACTCAGAAGGGGAGCGTGGAAGTTAAGGCTCACTGTTCATAAAGCAGCCGGCACCGGCTGGCCGTGTGGCTCTGCCCAGTGACAAGCAATACTAGTAGTCCCCATATGGTCAGCGCCATACTGTGTATGATGCACTTTCAGAGACAGAGGCGTTTGTCTCCTCTGTCTCTGAGCCCAGGCCTTAGCGGGGAGAGGACGAGGGGAGGGGGGCCGGGCTGCATGGACTCACCCATGTTGGATCTCTCCCACGATCTGCATGTGATACTTTTTGGGCAGCTTGCAGCCCCCAGAGATAGCTGTTGCCACCACCACCTGCAAACCCCAGAGTGGAGAATGGGGATTAAAGTTGGGGCCGGGGCAGGAATCTCTCCCAAGTCTGCCTTTTCTCTGGGGGTCCCAAGTCCTGCCTCCTTGAGGGGAGGAATCTCAGGAGCAGGAAGAGAGGGACAGCCACGCACAGGGGGATGGGATGGGATGGGTTCACGTCTGACTTCAGGTCCCACTGGCTGCCAATGGAGGGGGTGGGGTGCGGGTGGGCTGGGGCTCCCCGGGCTCTGGCTGGAGCTGGATTCCTCTTCCCGCAGCCTCTCCAGCCCCCCCAACACCCAGCTCCGGGCGGGGTCCTCACCACGATCATCTCCGTCGGGATGGGGAAGCGGATCCTGTGCATGTAGCGGGCGTTGAGCTCCTTCACCACCACCAGCACGGCGCCGCTGATGAGGGCGAAGATGAGCGAGGCGATGTTGGTGTGGGGGAGGTTTTTGCAAATGTCAATGAAGGTCTGGGGGAGAGAGCATCACGCTCACAGGCTCCCACTCCTCCTTCCCGCGTTACCCACCCTTGGGTGCCCGGCCCAGGGAAGGCCTGCCGGCAGTGCTAACAGAGGCGCACCGAAGCAGAATCCAGACCCCGGTCACGAACACTGTCCCATCTTCCACCACCCTCTCCTGAAGCGCACCCTGAGAGCTCATGCTCCGATGGGAATGCTTTTATTTATTTATTTTTCTCTAGACTAGAGTTCCAGCTAAAGGAGGAGGGGTAGAGATCAGACATAAGGAAGGACTTTCTAGGCAAGGAGGGGTTGAGGCAACGGAATGGGGAACTGATGGAGAGTGCAAGTCTCCTTTCCCGCAGAGATTAACCACAGGGAACCTCAGCGAGCTCTCGAGGTCATGCACTTGCCCTTCCCTCTCAAGGTGGGAAGCCCCTTGGAATCCTCCCTAAACAGTGGGCCAGCCAGCCCCGGCTTGAGAATATCTCACAGTGAGAAACGCAAAGCCCCTCGAACCCTGCTGAGTGTCTGCCCCAGCCTGCCCAGCCCCAGGAGCGCGTCCCCAGACTCACGAAGACGATGGACCCCGGGCCTGTGTAGGAGGGGACGGTCAGGCCGAAGATGTACTTGAGCACCGAGATCAGGATCTGCAGGCCGGCAGCCGTCATGAAGCCCCGGATGAAGGACTCGGAGAGGTAGATGGCCACAAAGCCAAATTGCATGAAGCCCAGGCCCATCTGCAAGGAGAAAAGGGGTGTTGGGGGAAGGCCGAGGTAGGCCAGCCGTTCCCACAACCTGCCCGACACCGACCCAGGCCCGGAGCCCCGTGCAGCCCTGGGAGAGCAGCAGCTCTAGGGAAATGAGCCCGTGACCTCGTGCTGCCCTTTGCTGTGCCCTGTGTGCCTGCTGCCACCAGACCTTTAGTTCCTTTAGGGCCCGGGCCTCTTTGTCACTTCTCCTCTCTGGCTTTGTTTCCTTATCTGTAAAACCAACCTGGTCTTTCCCCAGTGTTTCCTCTCCCCATAAATGTCACCATCATAAACCTGGTTGCTCAACTGAAAACTTGACAGTCGTCCTCCCTTGCCTCCCACACCCAATCTGTCACCAAGCTCTGTTAATGCTCCTGGCAAAACGTCCCTAAGTCCACTCCCAGTTCCTTCGCCAGGGCCACCTAGTCTAGTCCCCTATTGCTCCTGCCTGGCCCTCTGCAGGGTCTCTCAACGGGTCCCCTGCCTTGCTTCTAATCCGCCTCCCACCCAGAGTCTCTGCAGCCCAAATGATCCTCATCAACTGCCAATCGGACCCAGAGCTGCTGCTTAGGGGACAGACCCCAGACTTCATTGTCTGGCCTCTGCCTACCTTTCCAGTCTCTTCTCTGGCCCTCCACCCCCCAACCAAAACAAGCCCCCTGCCGGTCCCCGGCAAAACAAAACCCCCCAGCCCTGGATGCTTTTGGGCGCTGTTCCATCTGCCTGGACCATCCTTCCGCACCTTGTTCATTTGGTTACCGGTTAACTCCTACTCATTCTTTAAGACAGGCCAGGTGTCACCTCCTCTTTGAGGTCTTCCCTGACTCTCTGTTCTGTGTCCCTTCAGCTCTTTGTACACAGTCCTACTCTGCTGCTTATCTCACGACATACAAATTTGTCTGTTGGCATGGCCGCTTGCTCTGCTGTGCTGTGAGCCACTTAGGAACTGGGCCTCTTTCTTGCTTATCTTTGTATCCCAGTTCCTGGAGCAAAACATTAATGGAATGAATGAATGAAAGGCGCTCTCTGGGACTGCTTCTTGCTCTTGCATTCTGTCATGCTGTGCTTCCTTTCATAAAACCTAGCTCCTTTGCAATCCTCTGTAGACGCTGAGTTTATGTTGTGCAGCTGCCGCTGTGGCGTGGAGCAGAGGGGGCTGGAGGGGGTGAGGGACGTTAGAGAAACTTGGCAGTCTGGAAGGCTGTGCTGCCAGAGAGTGGGGTTTCTCCTGGGGTAGTGGAGGGAGGCTGTGAGCCTTTGAGACAGTCTTTAGGCTCAAGACAATTTTATCAGGTGCAGCTGTTGTTCCTATGTATGGTCCTGCCAGCTACAGGTGCGAGATACTCTGAATTTTCAAGGTCCTCTTTAGCAGGCGTCCTAAACTACTGATCATGGGCCACATGCAGGCTGCCTAGCACATTTATCCGCCCCGCCCCCAGGTGTTTTTGCTGATGCTGCCTGTCCTGCTTAGCAGCTGACTTGTCCCGGGCCCACAGTGCGCCCTCTTCAACGGTCTGAGGGACAGTGAACTGCCCCCTGTTTAAAAAGTTTGAGGACCCCTGCTCTTTAGCCCTGGGATGGGAAAAGGAAGGAGGTAGAGCCCTAAACCAGATTTAACATCCTTTACGGGATGTTACATCCTTAACATCAAACATTGATGTAACATCCTTAACATCAAAACGGGAGCTTTGGGGCAGGGGCAGGTGGTCTGATGCCCTCCTGGCGGGGTTGGGGGCCGTCCCCCTCACCTGGATGATGGCAGTCAGGCAGGCTAGCGTTGCTGACACGTGCAGCCTCTCTGCCTCCATGGCTGCCGTGTCCACGTGGCTCTCGTTGGTGACATTGTTGAAGACCTGGAATTTCGACTCTGGGGCCAGCTGCAGACAGATGTTACCCACCAGGATGCTGATAACGGCAAAGGTACCTGTGGTGTCCCGTCCGGCCATCAAAAATCAGAGGTTTGGACCACACCCATGGAAACCAGAAAAGGGCCCAGAGATGCTCCCCGGCCCCCCAGGGTGATGGATCCTCACACCTCCAAGGTCACCTCCGGCACGGTAACGGCCGCTCACCGCTAACCATAATCTACGCTTTTCAAGGTGCTTCACTGCAGCTGTCAATATTATCTCATTGGACACATGGGGAAATAAACGTAGAAATACACGCAGACTCTGAACCACAAACCAGACCTTGTGGCCAGGTCCTTTTTCTCTATGTCACTTAGCGCCAGACAAGTCCAAATGTCCCTGCAGTGGCCTGCTGGGACTGGCCTGGGAGTTAGACAGTGATTGCTCACATCTGTTTAGCAATTCATAGCACATGGTGTATCTTGTTCTGCCAAATCTTCCTCTCATTCCAGGGAGGAGGATGGGACAGGTAATTCTAACTGAGCTCACAGAGGCTCAGTGGCTTCTCCGAGGCCACCAAGGATGTGGGACTGACACTCACAGGGACCGTCCCTCCAGGACTGGCCAGCACCAACTCTAGGAGAATGCAGACGGAAAAGCACCCACCCCTCTTTGCCACACCCCCACCCCGTCCTCCTGGCCCAGGTCACCTGCCTGCCGAGAGGGGAGAGGCCTTACCTGGTACCATCTGGTGGATGCCCCCCAGGAAGAAGTAGGTCAGGAGGGGGAAGAAGGAGGAGTAGAGGCCATTGACCGCAGGAAGGTTGGCCAGCAGAGCAAACGCCATGCCTGCAGACGACAAAGACATTGAAGGCCCAGGAGCACAGTCAGCTTATAGGGGTCACAGTGGGATGGCGTGGGGGTGGGGAGAGGAATGGGGAGCAGCAGGCCAGGCCTGGCTGAGGGGAGCCCCTCACCTTGTGGGACCTGGATGGATCCCCCGCTGAGTCCGCCAAGCAGGTCGGGGACGATGTAGTCCTTGATCTTGTACTTGGGGAGCCAGGAGAGCACAGGCAGCAGCCCAAACACCGAGGCTTTGACCTTGGCGGAGGAACACCTGGAGGGAGAGAGGGCAGGTTTCCAGTCGGCCCTGCATGGCTTGGACACTCAGAGTTGGAGAGGGACTATAATATCCTGTTCATTTCATCCATTCATCCGTTCACTCCAAATTCGCTCAGATTTCTGATACGACCCTGAGCACCCACGGTGTGTGCCAGGGGTACCAGGAAAAAAAGGCAGGAACTTCCTCTTGACAGCTCGTCCACACACCCTGGGCATTAGCTGGATGTCTTCAGACTGCTGGCTGCTCCCCTGGGAAGTCCACAAGACTTGGCTTACCGGTGTGCATTTTATGGTGGCTCAGCCTTCTAAGGTGTCGGGGCCATGCCCAAGCTCAGATGGCCTTTCTCCTGCAAAGGCTCCTCTGAGTTCCTGTCTACACTCGCCTGGGCCCCTGCAGCTCTGTGTGCACCCTGTTTGTAATTGCTCACTTTTTGTCCCTCTCTCCCACGAGACACCCCACCCCACCAGGGCGAGAAGTCTGTCTCTCTCGTTCATCTTTGTACACCTTGAGCATTGCACAGTGGTGCTTAGCAAATATTATTTGAATAAATGAATAAGTGAAAGGATGGGCCGGTATCGAGACTCAGTCTGAGTGGGGGCTTCCTGCTGCCCTTTTTCTTAGGACTGCCCCCACCACGAAAGGCCCTATTGTTCCTGCAGGCTGCACCTCTGCTGACTCACCCTCCTTTGTGTGTGATAACTCAATACCGGAGTTCTTTCCCCTGTTAATTCATCTGTGGAGGAGGGAAGAATGGGGGGTGCTGTTCGTTGGTTAACGCAGGGTGGGGAGAGTTGATCCCTTCCCTGTTTGTTGAACACCTTGAGGTCCTTTTATAGAAACTCAGGAGCGGTAGGAACAAGGGCTTACAGACTCCAGGGTGACAGCCAGTGGATTGATGACTGGAGCGGGGTGGGGGGATTTGCTTTTCTTCTCCCAGTTGAGGGAACTCAAATACTCAGGGCCCATCTGGTGACTCACTGACCTGCTCTGATTAGGCTTCCTTTTCTGCCCGGCACCTATTCCTGCTCTTTGCTGTTGCTCAACAATAGTTTCCCTGACACTGGGTCCCCTGGATGTCACCCAAGACTGAAACCGACACAGACAATGCTTTGTACCTTGGAAAGTCTAGGCAGATTTTCTTTCCCAACGAACACTCCATGCAACGGCATCCTCACCAACATCTGACTCCCCAGTCTCCTACGGGGCTCGTGATGGCTTTCCCATCCCTGGGATGGTGGAAGGCCAGGTGGACTGGTGGGAAATGGCTTAATGCACCTCTAGAGCCTCATTCTAAGAGAGGACCAGCCCTGTAGGAGTCTATCGGGTCTGTTTGTGGCAAAGAAGATTAGACTCATGAATGGAGAGCTGGCTTGAGAAAGAAAAGCAACTCATTGGAGGGCTAGTCCATGCCCAACCTTACTTGCAAGCGTGCAACCTTACTTGCAACCCATATATTGGACAAAGCCATCTGAAGCCTGAAAGAAGAGCTGAAAGTGGAGGCCAAGAGGGAAGTGGAGAGAGAGATCAGCTGTCTTCACATTCACTCGTTCATTACACAGATATTTACTGGGGCACCTTCTGTGTGCCAGGCACTGGTCGAGGCTCTCCTGCTAGCACCATGGGAATTGTTAGTTCCCTGCATCCCTCTGTAGTTTCTATCATCCTAAGCACTTGGGACAACAGCAGACCCCCTCATCCCTCCAGCACAGAAGCGACCCAAACTTAAACGCTTGGGGCGCAGAGACCGACGGAGCCCCACCTGTCTGTCTGAGAAGCATAGTTGTGGGTGCTGAGTCCCCAAGGCCTTGACTGTGACTGGGCAGAGATGGAGCCTCCCAAGAGAAACAGGGTTGGGCTGGGGATTTTAGTAAAAACTCAAGTGGGTGATTCCCCCGGCCTGAACCAGTTCCACCTGCATCTCCACTTCAGCCATTGCCAGTGACCTCGATCCAGGTAACTGAATCAGCTGTTTCCCCAGGGGAGCGAGGAAGAGCGAGCCAGCCCACGGCCAGGCCTCGGCGAGGCTGCCCAGGAGTCTGGGAAGGGGGAGGGTGAAGCTCACAGCCCCAGGCCCCCGGGGTAGCCCCCTGCTTAGAGGGAAGGTGTCACCACCCACCAGCAGTTCCAGGGATCTGAGAGTGGAGACAGCCTGGGAGCTGCTAGGACTATGCCCTGGTAGGTCCCCTGCTGGGGAGCCTGGGAATTCAGGGTCCCCTTTGGGCATTTTCTGCCAGCCAAAGGAAGGGACATCTGGGAGAGAAAGGGCAAAGGGCTTGGGGTAACTGTGGCTTCAGGGGTTTTTTTGATGAGGAGGGAATAGGGCCTGGGGTGGCATTCCCTGCCCCTCCATGTTGTAGCATGGCCCTGTACAGCTCCTTAAAAACCCCAAAGAAGATTTGAGTGGACTGAGAATAGGAGCAGCCCCATGCAGGGGTCAGGGATGCCCTATAACCCTTCTGAGACTGTGGAAGATTCTGGCTCCTCCTCCCCATCCTCCCTGGGGGTCCCAAGGTTCAGAACCTTCCTTCCCCAGGGCTTCCCTAAAGCCCGTCTTAGGGACACTGGTGCAGGCAGGACTTGGTGGGGAGGAGAGGAGAGCAGAGGAGTCTGGGCTCTGGGCCACATTACCTGAAGGCATTGCGAAGTTTCTCTCCCACCGGGTACGTCCGGTCCTTCTTCTCAAACTCATCGTCGAAGAGGGTGAGAGAGTACGCGGCTCTGTCTACCACGTAGCGGGGCCTGGGCTGGCTCATGTCTGGGGCATTTACAAGCTTTGGGAGAAGCAGAGCAGGGCAGGATGAGGCAGCATCCCTCCCCAGTGCCGGCCCGGGCCTTCTCTCTCTGGTCCTCGCGGCAGCAGAGTTTTATTCTCCTCCCCGCCCCCAACCAGCAAGGTGCCTCCCTTCCCTCTGTCAAGTCTTTCCACCAGACTCACTGCTTTTGGTGGCCTTCCTTCCCAGGCGCTGATGATGCACGCACTGGCCCTGGCTGTTTTGCTTGGCGCCCAGCACGTGGCTGGCACCCGACACCTGTGACATCACCGTCACCCCCGCCGAACACCAGGCAACGAGGAGGTGGGAGTGCAAGGGCAGGAGTCACCGCTGGCTTCAGCACGTGGGTCCTACTCTCCCCCGGCCCCTGGGGCCCCCGCAAGCCAGTCCCCATCCCCACACCATAGATTCCCCTGGCAGAAAGGCTCATACCATTCGGCCAATGAGCTTGGAAGAAACAGAGAGACCAGCCTGCCCGGAGGCATGGGGATAGCCGTGGTGACCTCAGGAGGACCCTTCTTGAATAAGATGCCTAGAACTTCACCGACAGGTTTCCCGGGGAGACAATGGTGTGTTTGGGGAAATCAGGATGGTCCACCCGCCTGCTCGCTCTCCCACGGCTTCCTGTGCCTAACCTTTCCCCCACCCTTGTGTACCGGAGTTCCTCTCCTCCTCGCTCTTTGCGCAACCTGGCTGGCGTTCCAGGAGCCGAGCTGGGCAGAGCTGAGTGCCAGGGCCCCCGAGGCCCAGAGGAGTTCCCTGTGGGGACCTTTCCCTCTCCCTCCTCTAACAACAAGTCCCCTCCTGTCCTGGGCCCCCAGGGCTGGGAGAAGTTGCTCAAGGACCACAGAGGAAGAAGGAAGGAGAAGAAAGAAATGGGGGCAGGCTTAGAGGGAGGGTTTGTGTCTGGGAGGTGGGGAGTGTGGGGTGGCTGTGGCCAGTTTGGCAAAAGACTTAGATGTGGTTGGAAATGAGTATACCTCACGGGAGCCAGAGATGCCCCCAACTTCCTAGGGGAGACACCGGGTGAGTGGGGAAGTTAGCAGAGGGGAGCAGCTTGGCTGATGCCCCTTGCGGAAGAAAACACTGGGGCAAGATAGAACATTCTCGAAGGGTCCAGAAACCTGGGTTCTAGTCCTGGCTTTAGTGGTGAGGCAGAACAGGTGACATTACTTCTCTGAACCTCAGATTCTTCATCATTAAAAGGGGGGTAACATACCCATCTCACAGAGTTGTTGTGAAGACCAAAGCAGTCGCTGGATAAGAAAGCGTTGTGTAAAATGTAAAGAACGATGCAAACGTGAGTTACTATTAGTAATAAGATTGTGCTCAAGTTGGTGGAGCTTGGGCTGGTGTACTCATTCATTCGGTCTCGAGACTCAAGGTCCCCTGGGAACCGGTGCCTGGCAGAACCCCACAGACGATGCCCGATGGAAGAAGCAAGGGTGGGAGAACGAACCCCCACAGCACCTGTGCCCAGCCCCGTGCCTGGCACTTGGTTGAGTGAATCGAGATACACGGGAGTTTGGAGGAGACATGGGCAGAAGTGAGTAAGGAAAATGGCATGTGAGACATTTCAGTGGGAGAAATGAAAGACAGGGGCATAAGGAAAACAGCAGAAATTTTAGAGCCGGAATGACTTGGGTTCAAAGATTCAGTTTCTTCATCTATAAATGGGATAATAACAGTCCCCGCAGTTGCAACGAGGATTAGATGAGATCATGTGTGTGAAGTGGCTGGCCTTTCATGGACACCCATGAATGGTAACGGCGGTGATTACTATTATTAAGATGGGAGGTGCTTTCTTCCTCGTCGGAGAGACTATTCAGAGGCTTCCAGCCCTTCACCCTCCAGTGAGGCGCAGTAATCTTGCTTTTCCTCCCCACCCTCTCAGGGGTCTGCAAAAGTCTGTCTTTCCAGGTTCTTTGTCTGGTGAGCTCTTTGGGAGAACCATTGGGGAGCACGACCCTGCCCCCCCCATAGGAGCCCAGACCTCCAGACCTCGCTACAGAGAAAGACCCGTGGTGTGCGGAGTCCTGTCCCAGGCCACTGAACAGACCGCTTGCAAACAAACAGCCAGAAATTTCAAGGGGGTGGGGGGCGAATCAGCAAAGGACAGCCCTTTGGAAAGGGAGGTGATGGGACAGCTTGCTTCCCTGCCAGCCAGCAGGCAGCGACGCCTGAAGCCTCTTCCCAGGCTGCTTCCGAAGGCTGTGAGTTGCAGCAGCGTGCTTGTGGGAGGGGTGCTGTCAGCACCGATCCTACTGAGCCCTGCTATCCCAGCCTCCCTGCCCTCCCACCCCGATTTCCCTATTTCCTCCGTGCTACCTTTCTCCCTGCCTCCTAGCCCACTCCCACACTTGTCCCCACCCTTTCCCTGCCGCTCACCCCCCACGTTCAGTTGTTCATCGAATCCTGTCGCCATTTCCTTCCTTTCTTCCTTTTCTTTCTCTCCTGCCCATCTCCTCTGTGCCTCCACCCACCTGGTCCCGCACCCCCTGCTCAGAAACCTCCATCCTCCCCATGTCCAGGAGGATGAAGACCAAACTCCTTTTTTTTTTTTTTTTTTGGCATTTTTGCTTTTTATCCTCTGGCCTTGTTTTGGTGTATTCAGTAAATTTGCTGGCTGGGTCCCTCCCCACCACCCAGGCTTGGCTGTTCCACGCCCCCAAACCAGCTTGGGTCTCTGTTCACATTCTCCTCCTTCCCTGAGATGCCCTGACTCATTTCTGCCTTTCTAGACCTGCCCATCCTTAAGACCTGTTTACGTTCCTCCTCCTCCCCTCTCCTCCCTCTCCCCCTCCTCCTTCTCATCTAGGAAGCCTCTCCTGACCTTCCTGGCCCTGGGGCATCTCCTTCCCGCATACCCATCCAGCTACACAGTGCTGGCTGTGGCCATTCCGGCTGTCCATTTCAGGGAAGGGCGGGAGGAAAGCCGCGGGGCTGGTGGAGATCCTTCCGACAGCAGCCGGCAGGTGACTCAGGGCTGTTTCTGCCCCGTCCCGATAGATGGTCACTAGACACCAGGGCAGTCCCCTCTGACACAGGCTAACTGAGCGAAAAACTACTCCCTTGCTATACCGGAATGTCACGTCTGTCCCTGTCCCATACTCTCTGCCCAAAGGGGAGAAGGCTCTGGGAGCTGTCACAATCCTGAGTTTGTACAAAGAGGAGAACCCAGCAGCCAGGTGGAATCAGGAAGTTTGTCTAGAAGGGAACTCGAGGACCATGCTGTTCCAGTCCTCTCATTTTGCAGGTGGGAAAACTGCACGTTGGAGAGAGGTGGGATGGGAACCGAGCTGGGCCTTTGACTCCAGCTCAAGTGCTCCAGACCTCCCATGGACGAGGACGCTGCTCCCTGGGGGTTTTCCCTGAGTGGCATCCAGATTGCCCCTCTGGGACCACCCTGGTGGCCTTGCCACCCCAGCTAACAGGATGGGACTTCTGGGTTCTGTGTCTGCTCTTGAAGGCTGTGTGTGTGGTTGCCTGCCCCCCCACCCCCCCAGCATTAGTTTTCCCAGGACAATGACAGGCAGCGTTGCAAATCAGCAGCCACAGGGAATCTGCAGCTCCTGGCGAGGAGGTGCTCCTGCCCAATCCTAATTCCAGGAATAGGGGCTGAGGTGGGGTGGGGCTTAGGAGGGGAGGTCACTCCATCCCCAGCCAATCTTCAGGCCTTGGAGCAGTGGAGGAAAGGGGCCTGGGAGAGGCGGAAAAGGGTGAGCCGGTGGGGAGGGCCCTGTCTCTTGCAGGCGGGCTTCCAGGGTCTCAGAGAGCTCAGGCGGATCCCCAGAGAGGGAGCCTCGCAATGCTAGCTCAGGGGTAGGAAGGGGGAAGAGGGAGCAAGAGAGGGAGCCAGCGACAGGGAACTTGACAATTTGATCCCCAGTTAAACAAACACACAGCCCTGCTGAGTGATGTCAGCATCACTGCAAAAAAAGTCAAGTGCCCTATTGCCATAGGTGTGTATCAACCCTGTCCTGCCCCTGCCAAATGGTGCCAGCCTCTCCACCGCCTCCCATCCCCCCACCAGCTCAGGGATACATAGCGGTGCCCTGTGACAATATTGAGGAACAAAAGGGTAACCCTGCTCCTCCCCCCCCCACTGTGGGGGAAAGGAGGGGCAGCGCCCAAGAGCTGGAGGGACTTGGGGGTGCTGTGGGGCTTAAAGGGAGTAGAGAGAGGAGAGAGCAGAGGGTGGGAGACGTGGTGCATGGACAATTGCTAAGTCCTAGTGGGGGAGTGCGGTCAAATCTGGCGTGGGGGCAGGAGACCCAGGAGTCCTGTGGAGCAAAGGAGCTGGGGCAGGGGGAGCAAAGGGCAGATGGGCTCTGTGGGGGTGGGCACAGGCTGGAGCAGAATCCCCTGGGTTTCTCGGGGATCTCCCCTACAAAAAGCGCACACAAAAGAAAGCCCATGGGCGCCTCTTCCCCGTCAGAATACTGTGGGCAGAGACGGGCGTGGGCACCGTGCCCGAGTTAAGGCAGGGAAAGGCTTGGGCTGCAAGCCATAACTGACCGTCAGCATTCCTGCTGTCCCTCCAGAGCATTCCCATCCTTGCTCTGCCACTCCCGGCAGGTCCCTCTGCCTTTCTGGGCTTTCTTTTTTCTATCCATCCCTATACCCAGCGCCCCATGCCCTTACCCCACCGAACCTTCCCAGGATTGGCAAGAAGAAAAGCAGAAAACCTCTTTAGAAGAGGGCGGAGCACCTTGGGCGCAGGAAGGAGGGGAGCCTGTCTGCGTGGGGTTTTGGTCCCGTCTGGAGGTGACCCTGTCATTGTGGCCCAGACCGACTTCCTCCCTCAGCCCTGCCCAGGGTGTGCACGGGTGTGTATGTGGGGGGTTGACGCACATGTGCCAGGCACGAGAGCAGCCCCGGCTTGGCGTCCTTATCACGGCTCCCTGCCCAGCTGGTGGCTGCTCTGGGCAGAGGAAAGGTCACTCTGAGGTCCCCTCTGCTCCGGCTGCCTCCCTGTCTCATCTAGGCTGGGAGCGAGGACAGCCTTGGAGTGGCCAGGGTCAGGGTGTGAGCTGGTGATGGGACGAGAGGACTGGGTCTCAGCTGGAGAGTGTGTCCCCAGAAGGAGGAGGGAAAATGTAGAGGTCAGTGCACCCCCAAGGCATTTTTTTTTTTTTTTGAGACAGTCTCATTTTGTTGCCTGGCCTAGAGTGCCGTGGTGTCGGCCCAGCTCATAACAACCTCAAACTCCTGGGCTCAGGCGATCCTCCTGCCTCAGCCTCCTGAGTAGCTGGGACTACAGGCATGTGCCACCATGCCCGGCTAATTTTTTTCTATATATATTTTTAGTTGGCCAATTAATTTCTTTCTATTTTTTTTTTTTTTAGTAGAGACGGAGTCTTGCTGTCTTGCTCAGGCTGGTTTCGAACTCCTGAACTTCAGGGATCCTACTGCCTCGGCCTCCCAGAGTGCTAGGATTACAGGCCTGAGCCACTGCACCCGGCCCCCCCAAGGCATTTTTAAGCACTCCTCTTCTTTCTACTGCCCCTGTGTTTCTGGCAATCTCCCACCCCTCCCCACCCCGGCCTGATTTCCTCGTGGGTGCTGAGAGGGGAGGATGAGCTGTCACTAAGGTGTCTTCCCCCCGCCTGGCTGTTCAGGGACTTATCCCGAGGAGGGGTGAGAGTCGCTCCTACCACCCCCACATCCCTCCCAGCCGACGCTCCCCTCCCTGTCCCGGTCCCTGCTGGGGAGGAGGGACAGTGCTGGCTGAGGAAATGAGCTCCAGCGAAAGGGACCGAGGCTAGACTTTAGGAAGCACTCTCAAGGTCATGGGATCCCTGGAACGGACACCTGAGGTTAGACTCCTGGAGGTGTGCAGGGAGACCTGGCTACTCCCACTTGCAAGCAGGGGCCTGGACAAGGAGACCAGGGAAGGGCCCAGCTGCTCCGGTGCAAGGAGTCACAGTCCAAGGTCAGAAAGGCACAAGGTCAAGGCCAACTCCCCCTGAAGAGGTGGCCCTGTGGCTTCCATTGAACAAGTAGTGACTCCTTCAGCCCCCAGAGCTTGGCCAGTGTCTAGCGGGTCCCCACTTCTCTCCGAGAGCTCACTGCTGATCAGGCTCTGGCTCTTTAGTTCAGTTCGACGTGCACTCACTAAATACTGTGTGACTGTCTGCAGAAGATTCTAGACTAGAAGAGATAAAGAAGAGTCCATTTCTGCCTGCAGGACTCCATGCAAATGAACCTCAGAGCAGGTGGCAGGGCTCTGGGAAGTGCCCGGGAAGGCCACCCTGGTGAGGAGGTGCTCCTGGAGTCCTGGCCTCCAAGACCCCCAAGCAGAGTCTTGCCAGGTTCTGCTGGGGGAGGGGGCGGGGGAGAGGAGTTGCAGGGCTCCAGGAGAGGGCTGTCCACGTGAGAGAAGCCATTTGGGGAAAGCCCTGAGCCAGCCCTGGGGGGCTATGTCACTCCAAGGGACATGCCTCTAAAGCCGGAATTCCTCCTGGTGCTCAGACCCAACGGGGCAAGTGGAAGTGTGGAGTTGATGCCAGCATGATGAAAAGATTTTCTTGGCCTGGGCTGGGAACCCTCTGGGCTGGGTTTGAGGAATGGGCACCTTGCCTGAGGGCAGCCTGGGGGCCCTCGGAGCTGCAGGATGAGGGGTTCCAAGGCCGGGAGCCGAGAAGCTGGCTCCTCGTGCGCTGCCCTGGCCCGCACCCTTCTGCGTGGCAGCATCCACTGGGAGTCAGGTCCCCTGGGTGCTGCGCCTGCCTGCCCGCCTGCCTGAAGGAGCTGGTCCCTTGCCCACTCTCACATGCCTCGATTTCCTCTCCTTCCCCCTCTTGCAACCCTCAGGATTCATGGGGACGAACGGGATTCCATGCCGTCCATGCCGAGTGCCCTGAGGTGCTGGAGAAGTGAATGAGCGAAGGAGGGCGTCTCGGGGGCGGAAGGGTGGGGGCAGCCACACACAGTGGGCGGGTGAGCCAAGCACCACGAGCTTTCGCTGCCAAGACTTGAAAGCAAAGCGGAGAGGTGCAGCCCGCGGCTCCGAAGGCTGATGCCCCGAGGGAGGTCCACCACCTCCTCTCCCTGGAAGGCCTTGCAAAGGAGGTGGCTGTTCAGCCTCTGTTTGGGGGTCTGGCAGACCTCCTCCACCACGGCCTCGGTCCCCTGTGCTCGCTCAGCCAAGCCTGGCCCTGCAGCTGAGGTCCTTGTATGGGAGCGAGGACCCAGTGGGCTCCCGGGAGGGAAAGGCTGGGGCCCGAGTATCCTTCCCATTCCTGCTCAGGCTGGAACACAGCCGGGCCCCGGGGCGAGTCGGAGCCTGTCATCCTGCCTCTCGGTGCCCCCGTGCCTGCCCTCTGCCAGGGCTGACCCCGCCGCCGGCAGGGTGGGCCGGGCCGGGCTGGGTGGGGCTTACCGGTGGGTGCGCAGGGCCGCCGGGCAGGGCCGCAGGTGCGTCCGGGGCGCGGGCGGCTGAAAGGTGTTCCTGAGGTGTGCGAAAGGGCTCTGCTCAAATAATCCAGGGAGGCGTTTATAAATAACTTTACCTCTGGGCCACGGGGTGAGCCCCGGCTTCTGATTGGCTCGGAGGGGAAGTGGTTTTGAACACTACACCGTAGCTAAGCCCGAAGAGATAGGAAAAGGAGATAAGGGGGAAAAGGTCCCAAATGAACAGCCCTTTTTTTGTTTTACCTGGGGAGCAGGTCTGTTTGATGGGAGCTTGGCACTTCCTAAATCCACCCTGGAGACAATAGGTCACATTCAGCGGGGCCGCTGCCACACAGGCTCCCCCACTGCGGCCGGCCGGGCAGGGGGACAGGCAGACTCTTCTCCGCGCCTGCTGCCCTGCCGCTTATGGGGCTGGGGGTCAAGCCAAATAGCCTCTTGGACAATGGGAGCCATTGAGGCCACCCGAGGGGTGGGGTCCTGGGGCTGCTTGCTTTGAAGATTGGAGATCTGGGGGTGGGGGACCGTGGGCCTCTGAACACCCCTGGCGAAGGGGACAAGCCGAGTGTGGGAGGCCCCGAGAACCTGCCGTTGTTGGGAATTGGGGTTGTGGAGGAGACCTGGTTCCCGGTTCTGTCCCCAGCCTTAAGTCACTTGCGAGCTCTGTGCCTTGGTGTATCCAGCAGTACCACAGGGAGAGTATTCTTGGCCCTCCTACCTTCCCAGGTGGCGTGCAAAGTTCTAGAACATGTGCTAAGTTTAGGACCCGGTGAAGGAGCTCAAGAAACTGGACTTACAGCAATTGTATGAAAGGTGACCTAGCAAATCTCCGATTCACAGGCCTCTGCCACTCTAGGAATTAATGTCCGGCTGGTCCTGCCTTCTGGGGCAGGGCTGCCCGTCCATGCCACTGAGCGCTGTGGAAGGACCTCAGGAACCAGTTCCGGACAAGGGGCGGGAGGCGGGGTGGGGGGGCTTCTCGACATGGCTCCTGGGAGGGAGAGTCCCTGCCTGACACCCTTCTAGATGTCCTTTGTTCGAGACATCTGGGGCTGCACTGTCCCAGTCCCGAATTATCCTCCCCTCTCCCGCAAAGAAGCCAGGCGCTCCGAAGTGGGCTAGAATCAGTACAGGGGGGCCTTAGTGAGGCACCCCTGGAAGTGGAGGCAATCGTGTCCCTGGGAAGGTGAAATGAACTAGCTTCAGTACATAATGGGGACTCAATAAATATTTGTTAAATGAATGAAAGAATGAATTGTCTGCAAGCCCAACCCAAGGGATGGTTTGTAGCCGCACTGCTTGTGGGGACTAGGGGAACACCCGAGGTCACTTGGAGTTGTCAGGGTGTAGCCAGACAACCGGCCGAAGGAAGCCAGGGAGGGAGCGTGTGGACACTCTGCCTCTGGGAGCCCTTCTCCGGCCCCTGCATGGACTTTGCCGCCACACTGCACGTTTGTTCTCGTGGCTTCCTCTGCTTCACCATCACAACTCCGATCACAACCAATGGTAATTATGCATTCGGTCGTTAGTTTTTCTCCAAAGACTGTAAATTCCATGGGGAGGTCAGGTGGGCAGTGCCTGTCTTTGTATCCCTAGCATCTAGCCCAGGGCCTGCCACTTAGTAGAAGCTCAGTATAGATTTGTGGAATGAATGCATGATTATAGGATAGCCTTTAATCAAAACAGAGCCAGAGAGTAAGAACTTGTCCTCGTATCGCCAGCACTGTCCAGTGTCCTTGGTAGCCTGACCTGTCCTAAACTTTGCCAGGAAATTCCTAGAAAGCAGGTGAGTCACCAGGCTCTTCCTACAGCCAGGCGACAGCAGCCACCAAGGTCAAACAGCTAAGCCCCCTTGCTGAGATGCCATGCCCACCAGGGAATCTTCTGGTTGTGCATCCTCAGGGCAGAGAATGCACTGACCAGCTGACTGGAGCATCCCGGGCTGCCAGCATGTACACTTTATTTTCTTTTAAATGGCCCACAGACATGCCGGGCTACCAATTGGTCTAGTGTGCGTTTTGTTAATGTGAGTTTCCCCTGAGTCTGACCTGCTTTCCATAGTAACACTTGGATTTCACGCAGGTTGTCTAGTTTAATTCTCATACCTACCAGGCCATGTAGGCATGGTACTCTCATTTCTTGGGTGATTAAACTGAGGTTGACTGAAGTGAAATAACTTGCCCATGGTCACAAGATCTGGATGAAAGGGACGGGCATCTAACTTGGATGTTATACTTCAAATCCTCTGCTTAGTCCACCTTAATCTTTGAACCTGCAAAGCTAAGGATGAGACCTTACACAAGACCCTACCTTTTAGACACTTCCGGCCTCCCTCTCAGGTGTAATTCCCAAAGTCACCTGGATGAGGATGGCTGGGGCCTCCTAGTCACGTGCTGGAGTTGGGAACTTGCTGGCTCTCCTCCATAACTCTTCTACTTCCCAGTAGAGTTCTGGGCAGGTAGGCCTTGCGTAACAGGGGCAAGAGGGCTAGGTGAGTCCAGAGGTTCCTCTGAAGTCACTAAGGAAGATGGACAGGAGCCTCAGAATCTGGGGAAGCCCAGGAAGGAGGGGGTCAGGCCAGGGGTCGGGGAAGCAGAGGGCAGGAGGGAGGGCAGCCCTGATGCCTGCAAAGGGCACTTAGGGGCATCTCGGATAGAATTAAACTGTGGGGCAGGGTTAGGGCTGGCAGAGAGAATACCAAGGTATGGAGAGACCGACAGACAGATGGCAGAAATGGAAACAGAGATGGACACCACAACTCAGAAACAAAAAGAAAGGAGCAAAGGATGCATGAACGTCCAACGCAGCCAAGTGTTGAGTTTTGTTAAGTCATTGTCTGTTTTTCATGATGAAAGCAGGTGAACATCAGCCCTATACCTCTCCAGAGCTGTATAGATTCTCCTTTGGAAGCAACCTATTTCACCTCCACCCCTAGGGTTAGAAGCAAATGAGCTGCATTTGCTCATTCATTCACTTAAAACCCTTTATCTAGTGCCAGGGTCCCGTCCTGGGGGTACTGAAATTAATAGGACGCCATCCCGGTCCTGAAAAGATCTCACAATCTGGTGGGGAAGACAGGGAGGAGAAGAGATCATTATAGCATGAAAACACGGGGTGCCCTGGGACCAGAGGGCAGGGGCACCTGGCTCAGCCCTTGAGGACAGGGAGAGGGAGGTCTGGGAGGACTTCCCACGAGAGGGACACAGAGGGGCTGCCTTGGCTGCAGCCCAGACACCTGAGCTATAAACCTGGGTCGGGGGCACTCCCAGGAGGAAGTGGGGCGTGGGTTGCCCCTGGAAGCCGTTTCTGGAAGGGCTTTCTAGCTTGTCCCCAAGTCCTCTCTGACATCTGAACCCACCCGAGATTCTCACTTTAAAGCCCATCCCTGTGTTCCCCTCTGACCCGGAGCTCGGTCATTTTCCTCCAAACACACACGCACATGCACACACATGTACACACACACACACACACACACACACACGCTCTCTCTCTGTCTCTCTCATACCTAACAGGTCTTGGGGATTTACTGGGTTCCGAAGATAAAGCCAAAGTGTTCACAAGTTGCGCTCCAGACACGTCTCACCTCTGAGTCGGTCCGGCTAAGCAACGGCTGTTTTTTCCAATGAGCAAGCTGAGGCTAGCCCCGCAGGAAGGAGACACACTCTGGACCTCTGGCCATCCTTGTGCCTCTGGCCTTACCCGCACCCGCTGGCTTCTTGCACATGTGCCCTGTGTGGGTGCCAAGGGTGTGGGCAGGATCGTGTTTTGGGCAGAGCAGCCCAGTGACTTAAGCAAACACCTCGAGGCCGAAGACAGAAATGTCTCCGCCACCCTGCCCTGCAGTGACAGGGTCTGGCCCGGCCCTGTGGCTGCCGGTGTCACGCACGGGTGCACGGGAGCTCGTGGGGCTGCCGAGGAGCCCGGGGAGTAGCTGAGCCTCACTCTGTCCCCAGCGGCCCAGCCGTGAGCTTCTCAGGGTGGTCGGAGGCAGGGGGTGGCAAGGGCACGGGGTGTCCCCTCTCTCAACACAGGGATCCCGAGCTCCCGCCGTGCGCCTGGCACTGTGCTAGGCTCTTGGGATGCAAGGCCCAGTGAGGACCGGTCCTTGGGAGGTGAAGACCCTGACGGGGTCTTCAGGCAGGTGGGGGCTTTCCAGAATACACTCGAGGACAGAGCCGGGGGACAGCAGGCTGGGAGGGAGCTTAGGGTGGGCTCTGAACTGTGGAGGTCTGGAGAGAGTCAGGTCAGCGCTGGCCACAATCTGAGACCAGAGGAAAGGAAGTGCCACAGACCACAGAACGGGGAGACGAGGAAGGGACCTCAGGGTCCCTCTGGTTCTCCTGCATCATTTTACCGGTGAGAAATCTGATGCCCCAGAGAGGGCCAGGGACCTGCCCAAGGTCACCGAGAGGGACAGTGGCAGAGCAGAGGAGCCGGCCTAGGTCGGCGCGTCCCCAGCCCCCATCCCCCACCCCCCGCCACCCTGGCCCTGGAGCACAAGCCAAGCTCCCCCTCCACAGAGGGGACCTGCTCCCACTCCCCAGTGTCAGCGCCACCCGGTCGTTACCCAGACACACCACGTGCTTCCCGGGTGGGCACGTGCCGCTGCGGAAGGTCTGTCCTTCCGTCCTTCCCGGCTGAGCCCCGGCTGCCTGTGCCGGGGAGAGGTGGCGCGGGGGGAGGCAGGTCTGCAGTGTCAGCGCCCGGGAGCCCAGGGGGACGCGACTCACAGGTGGACGGGTCCTGCGGCTTCTAGAAGGAGGAAAGGATTCCGCTCAGTACCAGAAATCGGTGGACTGGGGGAGGGTGTTCGAGGCAGTTCGCTCTGCCCCGAGAATGCGGAGAATGGGGCCGGAGGGGGTGAGTCCAGGCTGTGGGTGTTGACTGACAGGCCTCCTGGCTGCAAGTCTGCCTCTGGGGACTTAAGCCGAGTACACATTAACCTGGGTATTCGGGATGCGTCTAAGGGTGGGGCGTGGGGGGCCTCGACCCCCATGCGGGGAGAGCTGAGATTGCCGGGGGAGCGTGGAGGCGGTGTCCGTGGGTCCCAGGGCCTCGCGCTGTCTCCGGGATCTGGCTTGGGCGGCCAGGGAATGAGGTCAGGAGGTGGCGTTTGCGACCTCGGGAGAGTCATACCAAAACGATATCTTCTTGTCTGCTCTTCCTATTCCACCTTCTCCGAGGATGAGTCTGACACTGGAAGGTGCCTGTCACCCACCACCAGTCCAGCCCACCCGACTCTTCCTCCCCGGGGACACTTGGCCGCACAGGCCGCGGCTCTCTGAGTGCTACTGGCTCTGCCGCTGACCCTCCCTTCCGGCCGAGGGGGAGGTGCTCTAGGTCTTCCAGGCTGGTTTTGTCCCTGCCGCAGCTCCTTGAGGCCAGGGACTGTGTCGCATGCCCTCGAGAAACGTCAGGATATCATGGCAAGAATGAAGACTTTAGAGTCAGATCCTGGCCCTGGGGTTTGCTAGTCTTGTGAAATCAGGCCAAGTGTTAACCTCCTTGAGGCTCAGTTTGTTCATCTGTGAAAGGGGGCAAGTGGCAAAAGGCAGTGCTGTTGTAACGCAGTTTCCTTTCCTTTGGGCATGAACGGCCCATGCATGACCAGACATGGATCTCCATGTCTCCCTGCTACCCTACTGCCTTCAGCTGTCAGCCACGCCCCTGCTAGGTGACACCCTGCACAAGGAATGGCCCTCACTCCCTCGTCCCAGGGAGCCGGGAGTATTGCTGGGCCCTCGCTTACAGGCCTCGCTCTCACAGTCTCCCGGAGACGCAGCCAAATGGCAGGATAGGTTCCAGAAGGTTCTTCTCCCAAGCTTCTCTAGCAGAGCCAAAACATCATGGCATTACCTGCATTGGTCCCCACTGCCTTTT